GTATTATGATTCCCATTTGTAGTATTCTAATTAATCAATCTCTCAAATTAACCTGAATTATGAAGACTTGCATTTCCACAATTTAATATCCATCCTCATCTGTGAAACTGAAAGCAGTATCTATGCACATTCAAATCAGGTAGACATCCATATCTGACCTGCAATTATTTTAGTTATTTGTTAAAAAACCTAAGTTTATACAAACCATAACATACCAAAGTTCTGTTACTTACCAGCTGCATATCTACTATGTCATTATATCTTATCAGAGCAACTGGAAGAGTCACATCTTCAAAATCAGTCTTGTTATCTGAAAGAGGAGACTAAAAGAGAAAGTGTCAGTGATAAGTATGTTGAGTCTATTTGCAAAGCAGGTTAGATCCCTAAAAGCAGATTATCCTTTACATTTCAGTGTATTTGTAGGAAGGAAAAAAAACCAAAACAACTCATTCATCACCTTCTGCAAAAGGTTAATGAAAACAGATGTACTTAAATCAAAACAGGTGATACTACCAACACACTGGGATTCACAAAGTTCTTGTGCTTTTATAGTATTACAAAGGATAATCAAAACTGATTTTATTCCCTATGATTTTAAAACAAGATGAACTTTTCATGATAATCATACAAATGCATAAATTCCAATATTTGTACATACATGTTGCAGCTGTAATAGAGAACAAAAAAAAGCAACAGAAGTATCTGTAAATATATCTCAAAATGCCTTTTTTTCTTTCCAACTCTGGATTACATTTTCCTAGTTTATTTTTGTCACACATGCCTAAAACACTATCACCTAAGACTACAGGAAGTTCGGAGTACCCTAAAATTAGGGAATGAGAAAGAGAAGCATATGCATTCAGAAACCTGATATCTCAGGCACAGCAGCCCCACCAGCACAGCACTCTGTGGGGAAGGCTGATGACTCATGCTGGAATCTCACACATTGCCAGGGCCCTCTGCTTTTGGGGTTTCTCTCAGCTAACCCTGAACAAGACTGCATCAGACCAAACACGTCAGACACTATCTCACTACAGAAGAAAACCATATGTTATAACTTACCAGCCTAGGTTTACTGGCAATCAACAGCATTTTAGCACCTGAACTTTGTGCAATTCTTGCTTTCTCCAAAAAAGTGCAGTTTCCTCTCATCACTACAACAGCTTTGTCCTTCATTAAGCCAGATGGAACTTCAGAATAATTGCAGAGTACTGTAGAAGTCAGGTTTTCCAGAGTCACAAAAGTCTGCATAGAGAAGAGGGAGAAAAGGAACATGATGGAAGTAGGAAATCTGATACTGCAAACTAATCTAGAAGACTATATTACCGTGCTCCCTAATATGAGGCTTGCCAGAAAGAGGTGTAACAGAAGGGAATAATTAATTCAGGAATATAAATCAGAGCAGCAGTTTCTGCAGCCTGCAATACCGAGCGACGTTTAGAGAGCACATAGCTGAAATATCTGTCTGTTTCTCAACACAATTTCACAGCAGTTGTTGCTGTAATTTGAACATAAGAAACTGGTTATATAGGGAAATTACTCGCTGTAGTTCTAGGGAAGCCAGTGTACACTCGGTGACATTTCCAGGTTTCACAAGCCAGAAGAGCACTGATGGATACAACACAACCAGAGTTCTGAAGGATAATACTTGTCCAAAAACAGCTAGTGAGCCTGATAACATATTACTTACTGCAAAAGAATTTAAAAAAAAAGATTTCTGTTCTCATTTTAAAGTTTAACTCCACCTTGACAATTATTTTTAAATTACTGGCAGTTTTCCTCAGTTAGTCAAGACATTCCAGTGGCCAAAGTAGCACGGCAAAAATGTTTGGAGCAAATTATTTTTACTCTGTTTTACATTGAGTTAACCTGCCAATGAATGACAGAAGAAAACTGAGAGAAGAGGGCCTTGATCACTTCCAAACACTTTCTGTGTATATGAAGAGCACCTAAAGAAAATTTGTTTCTGCCTCACACCCTAGTTTGGCTCAAAGAAACACACTCAGAAAATATGGCATCATGATACATTCCATATAATCTCCTATTCCACCACATGTTTTCAAGACAATTAAACAGATCAAACTGAGGAACCAATATAAGAAATCTGTTTCACACTTTCCAACATTTTTGTAAACAAATAAACAGACATTTTACTCCCAAATCTAAAACTCTGGTTTATCAGAGTAATACTGATAACATCTGAAGAAAAAAAAATAACATTAGATGAATATGTAAACATATTTAAAACCAGTTGTAAGCACAGCAAGAGTATAACCTTTGTAAACCTTAGAAGGTGACTTTTTAAAGTATAGAAACGTTCACGACAGAGATTTTGCGGGGACATGCATGGAGGGACAGGATTGGGACACAACCCAAAAAAGTAAATATTCAGTGTCTGGATGAGGGAACAGAGTGCA